GAGAAGGGGCACGGGGATATGTCAGCAGCTCGAAGCAAGAACTGGAAACAGCAGTAAAGGGAAAGAAACTGCGCAGTATTGCAAAGAAAAGTAAATTAAAGCAAAGCTGAGCCTATAAATGAAAGTAAAAGCAAATAAACTAAGTCTGTGTGAATGCAAATTGTCCTACAGAACCCGTCGTCAGTAGGGGGTTTCCCTATTTATAAAGCTGATGCTGAAATAAAGCTGAGAGCGAATAGGTTCTGTTGTAGGGTATGAAGCGAGCAAAAACAGAGTAGATTTAATGCATGGGGATGAAGTCATCCTTCGCTTCTGTAAGACTTTGGCCGCAAAAAAAGGATTGTGAGTATCGTGCACAGTCGCAGGCTGCTAAAGCCAGTATACTGGGATTATTGTATGGAATTTTTGGGTTTATCTAATCGAACCTATTGGTTTTCAGCTTCACAAATAGGGAAGCCTCCTTCGGAAAATGGGTTTTTGTAAGACAGTTGCCACTCACATGAGCTCAATTATTATTTGCTCTTGCTTTTTATGCGTTTTTTGCAGCTATGCAATGCGGAAAACGCATATTGACGAGAGATTGTCTGTGTGTGTGTGTGCGTGTGTGTGTCTGTGTGTGTGTGTGTGTGTTTCTGTGTGTGCGCAGGGCCTCTGCACCGATTTTTCATCTCGAGACCTACAAAAGCTACAGGGCTGGAACTTCGGGGACTTAATCTACATGCACGTACGGGCCCCCATTCCCAAAATGGGCGATCTTTCCCGCGTGGTACTCATGTAAAAGCCCGCCAAATTTTTTTACGGATGAACTACTAACTCGCGAACCAGAAAAGCTAGAGAGCTGAAATTTAAAGGGAATGTTTCCCGTCCAAGTAGGTACTAATGGGCTCAAACCCAGCTCCCGGGTGGGCGTGGCACCCTCGTACAAGCTCGCCAAAATTTTTCTCGGGTAAGTTCATAACTCGTGGATCTGAGATGCTAGAAAGCTGAAATCTCAAGGGGATGTTCCCCGTCCAAGTAGATACTAATGAGCTTCAACCCACTCCGTGGGTAAGCGTGGTGCCTGTGTACTTGCCCGCCAAAATATTTCTCGGGTAAGTTCATAACTCGGGGATCTGAGATGCTAGAAGACTGTAATATTAGGAGGATGTTCCCCGTCTACATTAGTCTCAACGAGCTCGAACCCAGACATCGGGTATGCGTGGTACCTACTTGCGGGCTCGTGAAAGATTTTTTCCAGTAAGTTGCTAATTCAGAAGCCAGGGAAGCTAGAAAGCTGAAATTTTAAGGGGGTTTTTCCTGCCAGTTTTGGCGGCCAGTCTTAATTTGTTTAGCTAGAAGGATTTGCCGGAAAAAACCGATACTGGTAGCGACAAAAACTACGGGGAACTACGCAAAAAACGCATCTTCGCACGGACAACCCATGCGTTGGTCAATTATTTTTTTGCTTTTATTCATAGGTCCCGATCCTTTGATTCCGCTTTTTTTCCTCGGTTTTCCCTAAGTTCAGGTTTGCTTTAATTTACCTTTCCTTGTAGTGCTGTGTTGTCTTTCTCCACTTCTTGCCTCGAACTCCTCACTAGTACCCTTATTCCCCTTCTCTGTCCTGCATTCAGTCCCTACCTCTAAAGCAGCACTTGGCACTCACTAACCACCATCTCCTAATTACGTTCTATCCGTTCCCCCCCCCCCC